GGTCTCAGTGATGCCACTAGGCAAGCCACTGAGTCGTGCAAAGGTGAAGGGTAGTTTAGAATGGATGGTGGAGGAGGAAGAAGAGAAGTTCCAGTTGTGACCCTGAGATCCAATGCAACATCAGGGGTTGCACTTTATTCCCTAACTTCTATTTCTTGAGTTTTTCTCTTAGGAAGAGAGGTCCATGGGGACCATGGAGAGGGTGCTCCTCTAACTTAGGTGAACATGTAAGTTCATGCAACGCAGACAGGACCCTGCGGTGGCCCTGAACATGCATGTCTCAGATTTTCTACTTCAGGGAGCATAATTGACCCACAGATCAGCTGCTATGCTCTGAAATCCGTTACCATGTTTGCATTAAGGTTGTGCTTTGCCAAGGTGGCTCCCAGCAGGTGACCAAGAATGGCAAGGATATTAAGCAGGCCCATACCTGGAAGACTCTGGCCTCCTCTGAAGGGTGACTTTGGCTCAAGGATCACCCATTGTTTGGCTGGAATTTCCTTAGAACTGTGCTGAAGTCTGAGAAGTAAGTTCTTTCCTCCCTCCTCGCCCCCTCCCCCCAGTTTCTTTTGTCTTCTCTGTCACTGGGTGTGGACCTGCATCACAGGCTGATGGCTCCTCCAATTCCTCCATTTTCCCTCAATGGCATTTCCTCTAGTGAATCTATTGTTACATCAAATCTTATTTTTAAAAAATGTTCTATTTATTTTTTGGGGGTTGGGGACAGAGAGAATGAACATGCATGGGGAGGGGCAGAGAGAGAGAGAGAGAGAGAGAGAGAGAGTTTCAAGCAGGCTCCACCACTGTCAGTGCAGAGCCCAGCGCAGAACGCATGAACTGTGGGATCATGTCCTGAGCCAAAATCAAGAGTGGGATGGATGCTCAACTGACTGAGCCCCCCATGCACCCCACATGTAATTCTATCTTGGAATCTGCTTCTTGGAGGACCCAGACAAATACAGATGGCTTCTTTACGTTCGTGAGATGTCAAAGGCAGAGTGGCAAATATGCCAACCTCGTAGGCTAAGCCTAGTCAACTGGGAGTGGTTGCTGGGAGTGCTGAGTTGAAAAAGATTCCAGAGATGTATCTGGTCCACTGGAGAGAATGCCATGATCTAGTGACAAGTTCTACCATGAGGCCAAGGGAGGAGGGTTTTGACCTTTCATTAATTGCTACTGCTGATTTGGGATGTTCCCAAAATCTCTCTCAAGAAGGGTCACAGCCAGAGGGGTATCTGTTGTATATGAAACTTTCACTAATGATGAATGACATTATGATAGTGAATGAATAATGCCAAATAAGGCTAATTATTACTAATCACGATGACTACATTAGTAATCATGATATACTTTATGTAATGATGTAATACATAATGACTCCATAATATATAATGATAATGCTTAATGATGAATGATGGTGATAACATGATATTATATCATAAAGGAGCTTAAAGTGATACAAATAAAATATGTGGCTTAATTATATTGATAAGCAGTAACACTTTCACACTGAAAAATGGTGTCATATGGAATTGAAAAAAAAGATACAAAACATAAGGATGTGTTAGTGATCTCTGACTTGGGGTGACTGCTCTGATGAGCTAGTGTGATTATTGTTTCTTTATGGAGCCTCATCATAACATGGTTAATATTCATTAATATTTCCTTTTACCTGATCTTATACTTGTCAAGTGATGTTCTGACATTAATTAGATTCTATAAGCAGATTTTTCCTACTAGAAAGAAAATATACCACCAGTTGATGTAGGTGTTCTAATTTAGCATTTATTTCCTTCCTCTACAAAATCATTTTTATTTTTATTTAATTATTATTATTATTTCATATTTTTTGAGAGAGACAGCACACACAAAAAAGGGAGAGAGACAGAGGGGGAGAGAGAGAGAGAGAAAGGGAGAGAGAGGGAATCTTAAGCAAGCTCCACACTCAGCACAGAGCCTGATGCAAAGCTTGATCCCACGACCCTGGGATCATGACCAGAGCTAAAATCAAGAGTCAGAGTCAGACCCACAACTGACTGAGCCACCCAGGTGCCCCTAAAAAAAAAAAAAATCATTAAAAAAGTTTTTTTTTAACATTTAACATTTATTCATTTTTGAAAGATAGAGAGTGAGGGGCAGAGGGAGAGAGAGAGGGAGACACAGAATCAGAAGCAGTCTCCAGGTTCTGAGCTGGCAGCACAAAGCCCGATGTGGGGCGCCAACTCATGAGCCATGAGATCATGACCTGAGCTGAAGTCAGACATGCGCCACCCAGGAACCCCCAAAACTCATTTTTAAAATGACAAAGTAATACATACTTATCATTAAATAATTTAAAGAGTATAAAGCAAAATTTAAAGAACACTTCTTATGCAGTTTCCTTTCAGTCATAGTCAATGGGGATAAGACTTAATTTTTTTGTTGTAAATTAATTTTCTTCACAGGATATCTCATGCTCAAGATGTTTTCTTTATGACCTTGTTTAAAAGGCGTCTCTTGTGCATTTACTCAGAATGAACTAACAAAACTGAATTTCTTCATACCCCAAGCTGAGGGCCAATCCTTTCATTCAGAGTCCTTTTGATTTTCAAGGCCTTGTCTTTTGTTAAGTTTTTTTTTTTTTTTTTTTTTTTATGATGGCAAACATTATGCTCTGCAGAAAGTGTAAGCTTTAGCTACCATTCACAGAATCTGAGAGCAATTTGGGGAGAATATGCATAATGTTTGCTCATTGCATTATAAGGTTTATTCAGTCTTAACAACTACTACTCATTTGTTTTTATGTGAATTTTATTACTTATTTTTTAGTTATTTTCTAGGAGTCTTTATAGTGCCCCATGGATAAAGTGGAGGGTAAGAAAAGTGTTTTTAGTCTTAATGTGAACTTAGTATACACCAAATTCAATGGTTTAAAAAATGGCATGAGGAAGACAAATCTGAAATGATATAGGTTATAAATTAGCTTAATTTTTAAAAATTGTTTATTTATTTTTGAGAGAGACAGAGACAGAGAGAGACAGAGTGCAAGTAGGGGAGGGGCAGAGAGAGAAGGAGACACAGAATCTGAAGCAGGCTCCAGACTCAGCTGTCAGCACAGAGTGCGACGTGAGGCTCGAACCCACGAGCTGTGAGATCATGACCCAAGCTGGTCGGACGCTCAACCCACTGAGCCACCCAGGTGCTCCTAGGTTGGCTCTTTTAAAAATAAAGGCAAGATTATTATTATTGGTCATTTTCAAACTCAACACACTTTCTGATGAGATAAATTAGTTCCCTAAGATGAGTAGGTTAGATTTTTATTGTACATGAAATTTATTTCAAAAGATGTTCCTCAATGGAGAATATCTGGAGCTTTATTGAAAGTGCTTTCATTCATAGATTTACAGATGATCCCTTGAGCTTATGATCTCCAAGGGAAATTATTATTTTAGGAACAGAAAACACAACTTACCAAAATAATGTTGATAAAACTAAAGACAAGCATAATTTTGTAACTTTAAGAAAGCTTAAATAATAAAGATGGAGAGACTACATTATTTTCATAAATGAACCAAACTTACAAAGTGTATTCATTTTATTTAAGGCTGAATTTTTAAAATAATTTCATACAAAAAAACTTGATAAAGTTCGTAAGAATAATTTTTTTAGGTGGGACAAACATAATGGTGAACAATAATACATAAATCTGGTGGCTGTAGGGATAAAAATGAGAGATGTTTCACGTAAATTATAAAGCAGGTATTTTCCAAAGCAATTTATCCTTTTATCCTTTCATAAAATTAGAATTAATTTTTCTCTTAATTAACAGGCAAAATATTACTGCAGAAGTAAAGATACTCTAAAACATTCATAGACCTACCTACTCTCTCTCTCTCCTTTTGATTAAAGAAGACCTGGAATTATTTTCCCACACATTTATTTGCCGGTTTTCATAAAATGGCATGCTGTAAAGGTAGTTACAAAAATACACATAGAAATATCTTTGGAGAGGCTGTGATTCTGTAAATATTGCATTTCTTCAAGATAGTCATGGGGATGCAAGCCCAGTACTCATTTTGGCTCTATTTTGTCAACTTTATTTTCTGATAGTAGACGTTAGACATGATTTAATAATTCTTTGAGGCAAAAGTACTGTAGGTATGCTCTTGATAAAATAAAGAACCACAGCGGCATGGGAATGACTTTAGTCATTGGGCTCACTATGTTAGATTGATGGGCTTGCTCATTCTCTATTTGAGATCAATAGTTGTTGCTTGAGGAGTTTTACTATATTTATTTTGATCTTTTCTTTTTAAGGTTAAGGTTACCTGTCGGTTAGGCAAAATACCAAGATTAGAATGCAAATTTGCACACTGCCCTGATATTGACTTTATCTCCAGCTTGAGAGAAACAGCCTTCTGCCCTCACGAGGATAGCAGCTTTGCCTGTCCTAATGCTGCGATTCTTAGTGTGGATGCGAAAATTAAAAATCCAATAAGACTAAGCATGGGTTTATCTATTATGCCATCGTGGCACAGGATACCAGTTTGTCCTGGAAAGTTCTGATTTTATTATTATTTTTTGTCTGTATTTTCATACATGTAAAGTGGAGCTTTTATTTTCACTATCAGCATAGAGGAATGGCCTTTTCAATGTCATTTGAGCAATAATAAAAGTTCTGAAGGCATGCTGGTTTCCATGCAAATGTTATCTCATGGTTTAAGTAGATAATAAAACTTTATTAATAAAATACTAAAATACACAAAGGCACTCTCATGGTGCATCTTTGGTTTTCTCAACTTAATTTCCAGGTCTGATAGGTATAGTTTTTGCAGATCCGACATAAACTTGATTATAGAAGTCAGGCCAACTGGATTTAAATTCCCAAGGTACCACAAACGTGGGGGCACAAATGAAATCAGGAAATAAACACATAGTCAAATCAACTTCTGGTTGATTGAAGGAAGGGCCCAGCAGAGCTAATCTGCTTTCTGAAAAATAATTAAGAATCCAAACTAATCACACATATAAACCAGTTTATTAGATTGTCAGTGATACTTTGAGACAAATTCAAGTTATTTTATTTTACTTTATATAAACAGTGGAAGGGAGGAAAGTTTTAAACTTCAAGCTTTGTTCAGCATGTGCGCAGTTAGCATCCACAAAAGCACCATTGGATATGGAAGAATTAGCACCACAGAATTTTAGGACCTAACTGTTAACATGCATCACTGGAAAACTTGGAACATAAAAACTGAAGTAGTACGTGGTATGGTCTATTATAAACAATACAAGGCCATTAATGATTTGTTTCCCTACAGTACAATACAATCACCAATCAATGAGAACCTTTTAAGTACAATACAGGACAAAAAACGCTTTGTACCCTGTTAACACTAAAACAGTTACAGATTTAAAAACATGTTTCTTGTGAGAGGCAGTGAGTCGAAACTATCCCTCCTCCTCTTTTTAAATTGAGTTAAATAGTTACATGATCTCTTGAGAAAGTATTTTCAAATCTATGTCCCTCTACCTCATTGCTGACAAATGGTTTTTTGAAAGCGGAAAGGCTTGATGAAGTAAAACAAAACAAAACAAAAGCCAAAACCCGGTAAGAGTCAATAAGTACTCCAGTGTGGTGGAAGATATTCCACATAAGATCAGTTTGAAAATGATGCCAATGATGTTGACACTTGTCTTCCCTTCGGTGGAGGAATGTCAAGTACAGAAGCCTTGCATTCACGGAGAACTTCGGTTCATTTCTTTCACACAATGCCTTTATTCTGGAGTGTAACATAAGAGACTTATTCCTTATTCCTCAACTCTTTTTGTAGTGTCATAGGGCTGTTCCTTATGCTGGATTTGACAACAGTGAAAAGGGCTGATATTCTCTCTGGATTTAGGGAAATTTGAGCTAAAGAAAAAATATTAATTTAAATTTAGCATATATGAAATTTTAAAGGGAGTTTCACTATTTTCACAGTACACACCCATAATCAATATCATTGAAAACCTTTCTGTTAGAAAGCATGTAACAAACCCTCAATTTTAAGTTATGTCTAGGCCAATTTTGGCATATTAGAAGATACTGTATAAGAAATGTGCAATAAGAATGGATAGATACAGGTATATTCAGATCTCAATGCATTGATGCCAAGGAAAATATATTTTTACTCACCAAGAGAAGAATATACCTTGAAGCATCTATGCAGACACATGAATCAATCATGTATCTGCCCAACTTCTAAGTCTGGAATAGTGATAACAGGGTCATTTAAGAAAAAGTATTCAATTACAGTATGGCAGCAATTTTATGTTGTATATATTTAACAGCAAAACATTTTTGAAAATAGAATCATTATTATACGGTAAGTTTACAATTCACCATTTCTATACTTGTAATACATGCGTTTATTTGTTTTCCCAGTTTAAAAAAAATCCCACTAAGACCAACATCTTTCAGAACAACAATCTAACATTAAACAAAACCTCCTAAGGAAAATATTTAGCATCACAGAGATTTGAGAAAAGTCTGTTACTCAGCATCACAAAATACTCAATAGATCTACATTTAAGATTGTTCATGCCATGACATTAACACACCTTTGGGATAATATATCTTATTAAAAAAAAAAGATACCAAGATACAAACCAAAGAATTGACATGGAACTTATTTTTAGTTTCTCCTCGATAAGAGTAGACTGCTAATGAACTTGACTTCTGTCTGTACCATATAATGAAAACTGCATCTATGAAGCAGCATTCACATTTAGCAAAACGTTTAAAACTAGTGATAGAAAAATGGCCACCACAGAGAAAGAATTAAAGATAAGTACAATTATAGACAAATGTTCTCTTCTTAAGTGAAACGCCCCCAAATGAAAAGGAAAACAAAGTTCGTTTGCTTTGAAATATTCTTCTGTTAAAAAAACCATTCTGGATAAAAGAAAGCTAGCCTATGTTTTATAAATGTCAAAAAGATGTAAGGTTGAACCTCAGAAAAAATTTAACTTTTGAAAAAAATTATCCTATGCCTTTTCTGCTGAATCACATCCCTTGTATAAATCAACAATTAATTTTCTGAAGAGGGTAAACTATACACAACAACACATCCATATTATTTATTTAAATTTGATAATTTACCAGGCAGGGCTGACTTGAGCATAGAAGAAACAAAACTGATTCTTAATGTTTTAGGGTTACATTAAAAAAAAAAAAACTCAAGTAAACAAAACTGAGTTACGACAGGCTGGCATAATAATTTTGACTGTCCTTATATTTGGCCAACATTTAAGCACAAGGTAGTGCCAATTAAAAATAATACTTAAAAAATAAAAGGTGTCTAAAAACTGTTTAATGAAAAAGCCTTCAAATTTTACACTTTAACCTCAAATGACTGTAGACTAACCTAGACAACAGTTTTGCTATTATCACACATACTTTTGTTACTCTAGAGTTTTATTTCTGAATTGTTCATTGGTTCTACCATGTAACACAATTTTCTATTAAGTTAAAATACTTTGAATTATTATATTATAAGAAGCTTTAGAAAAACACATAAGTAGGATAAATTTATAAAAGGATAAAGAATATTTTATGGGGTGATAGACAAATTCTATACAGACAAGTAGCTAGTTCAGGGTAATAAAGTGCCTTCATTTCTAGGTAATTAATTTTTCATTAAAATATTTTAAGGCTTTCTAAGAAACTTAACATTATCAGAAGTTTGATAATATACAGGGTTAGGCTATTAATTAGTATTCTTTCATAGGTCTTATTTCATTTAGTCTTTTAATCCATATTAGGTGCTTTTCAATAATCAGCAGCTTAAAATGATAAATTTGGATTGTAAAGTCTGAATTATTTTTGTGAGTAAAAAGAAAGATGTGTAATTTCTAAATGCTCTGATTTGTACATAAGACTCACATGTGGCTTGTAACAACCTAGTTTATGTCATAATATGCAACAGCCAATGCCCCTCGACAAGTTCAACAGAATATTTATCCAATGGCAAACAGGGCCATCATTTCATTCACTTATATATTCTGTTGTCTTTACATTTAAAAGGATTGTACAGCCTTAAATGGAAAAGGCCAGAGGAAATCTAAGATAAATTCTTCAAACACAGGCACAATGAGTATTTTTTTATTGCAGTAGCTTATGCATGATCTGTACTGATGGATGCCACCATCCAATGTTAAAGCATTTATATTTATTTTCGCTTTACTTCTACCACCCATGGGTGTATCACAGTAAAATACTGGAAACTCAACAGAAGTGTCTGCAATAGCCATAATCATACAGAATTCTGTTTTTTTCTTGTCATTTCTCTTTGGGATATATGAGGGTGTTTTTAGCAATGCTGTGTACTTAGTTATGTTGGCAGCCCCAGAATATAAGATAAATTATGACTCTATGGATATCAACTTACTCAATTGGTTATAATCAATAAAAACTAATTAAAATGATTGATATTGTTTTTCAGGAGTTTAGCTATTTTTATGAGATCACTAAAGTCAGGCACCAGATTAAATGGCCATGATAACTAAAATGCTTATCTAACTACCACTGGATTAATTTTAAATTAAAGGTTTTTGAGCTTAGGATGGAGGAGGAAAGTTAAACCTCATTGCAAATAATGGTTTAAATTAAATGTTTCCTATAATTAGAGAAACAGGAATTACCAGTAGGAAAAAGTGCCAGTCTTAAAATTGGGTTTGGTTTTCAGTCTAAAGCCTAGTAAGAGTAATTCCTGGCAATTAAAAAAATTAAAATGGCATAAATCTTTATAATTGCACATTCCTTTATCAAAGTGCCACAAGTTACCAAAAAATTCTCTTAAATGCATATGATGCTACTTTTCAAAATCAAAGTACATATAAACTTTTACTTTTTTCATAACAGTACAGTAGTTTTACAAACATCATAAATATAAGCAGGAAGATGAATTATAACTTTCTAAAAACAGTATAGAGTGTTTTTAAAAAATAGCTGTTAGAACCTTTGACATTATGAAGATTCAAATCCAGGTATGGCCAAAGCAGTCCCATAATATCCGAAAACATCATGAGAATTTATTTAGGCAAATTTTATTAGTACTCTGCCATGCCATGCACAGACACCATAGCTTTTTTTTTTTTTTTAAATATTGGCTTAGTTATTTTGTTTGAATCTGACTACATATTATACTTACTTATTCTCTTTAATCACTGAAGTGACAATATATGTATTATAACTGAGCTCTGAAAACAGTATTAAACACTGAGGTTTCTAGCCTTAATTGCTCATTCTTATTAAGCACAGCAAAAATGTCTGATGCATGTTATTAATTTTCATGCTTCTATCTCTTTATCTAAATGGAAATGTATAGCGATAATCTAATAAGGACAAAAGGACGTTAGAGACCAAAGCACCCAGTATAAGGAATGAATAAAATAAGCAACTGTAAAGCAATTCTCCATATCATTAAATTTGTTAAATCAGGGAAAGACAATAAAAAAGATCTTTTTACCAAGTAACAATTACATTAATATATATTTTTAAAAATAAGTGGCATGCATATAAGTTTAAATTTTAATATTTTTATTGTTTGAATGTGAGGAAGTTAAACTACAGAGGTATGTCATAATATACTGAGACCAAAAGAAAAAAAAAACTATATTGTTCAGAGGAAAAAGGGAGAATGTAAGATCATGGTTCTCAATGACAGGACATGTGCCTTCTGTTATGCCACAGGCTCAACATAGTGATGTAGTGCCTCATTTAATTAGGGTGAAAATGCTCACAAAAACATAAATATGCTAATAATAAGATTAGTGTATAGTCATGGAACATTAAATACCATTGAAAAAGAACACCTTCCTTTTCATATAGTTTGATAATCTCAATCTTGGGTATAAGAATGTGACCTTATAAAAGGATATGAAAGAAAAGCCCAATTCTATAAATCCTTCATCTTCTGAGGATATAGAATAGGATGTGAATTGGTACCCTACTCCTCTAAGAGAATTCACAAACTTCAAAAACATAAGTAAAATCAGAAAGAATCAGGTATGATAAATCACTGATAACAACTCCCCCAAACCCAAATACTGAGAGGTTGATCACAGAAAGGTAGATCTTTATTCTATATAATTTAATGAATCTTCTTTTAGCATCTGAATGTGAAAATATAATTGCTTATTGGTAGATAACAGTCTTGGATAGTGGCAGTATTTAAAAATTGTTAATGAAATAATTCAAATAACCATTGAAATGCGAAGATCCTTAGTAGAAGCTGAAGACATGTGGAAAACCCACGCTATATTTAATTCTTGTATTACCCAAAGTAAAATTGCATAATCTCTCTTGCCAATACACATAAATATTTTCTCGACTTTGCAAAATGTAGCTAGGAAATTGTATTTACCGAATTTAGCTTTTCCCTGGTAATAGTTCTATAGTGATGACATAAATACTGAACATACCTATAACAACCATTCCTACCATATAACTTAATCTTGTTTTCTATTATTCAGCTCTTTTATAGCACTTTTCATTTCCAAAAAGCTGCACAACTAATTATGATAGTTACTTCTCACTCTACAAGATGAGCCAGGTTAATAAATAGCTTGTGCAGTGGTGGAGCTATACAGGGTTTTCAGAGATCTTAGGTATCTTGTCTGTTCGGTAGGCAGTTAGTTGCATTGCTCTCTGCTATAGATCTTGAAGCTATGCTCCTTGAGGCCAAAGACTAGATCTTGTCGGCTGTATACCCATATCTATCAGAATGTTTAGCTCATACTGTATGCAAAATAAATATCTGTTGATTTAATGACTGAGAAATAGGGCTGAGAAAATAAAACAAAGGACCTCAACATACTGCGCCCCTCTCACCTTCAACCTCCAAGTGAAGAGCCATGCTTACCTCCCTC